CTGTCATCACTAGAGCTGTGGTTTTGTTGTGTGTGGTATTGTTAAAGAAGTATAGATGTAAGAGTTTGTTCTGGGTGGGTGGCTGTAGCTCAGGAGGTAAAGCTGGTCATCTACTAATTGGAAGGTTTGTGGTTTGATTCCTGGTTGCTCTAGTCTTGCAGAACTGGTTCTTATATAATGCTTTTCTACTCTAACTGAGCACTCAAAGCGCTTTACACAACTTCACACAGGTACTTTTTAAAAGCTCTTTCTATGTAATGCTTCACACACACATTTTTCGTAGATGCACCTATGGTATGAATTTTAAAATTTCCGTTTGTGTTATCCCATTTTCTGTAGAAGAAAAGAAAATCAGGCTCGATCTTTGAGAAAGAGTGTATTTATTTATTTTATTTAACCTTTATTTACACACATTGTCCCATTGAGACCCAATATCTCATTTACAAGACAGACCTGTTCCAGACAAACGTGTTAAACTTACAACATTAAAAAACCTGGTAAAACTGCTAAATATGTCTATTGTACACAGTCATACTACACACATACTAAACACAGCTCTGACTCTTTGTCAGGCTGGCTACAGTGCTGAAGAGAAACCTGGAGTTTCTTGTTCCTGATCACTGATGTGTAGTAAGAAGGCCCTGCTCTATGCAGGGATTTTTTTTTAAACTAGGTTTTTCTAGAGTTGTCAGAGCTCTCATTTCAATTGGACTTTTGATTTTTTAAAAGGATTGCATTATCATTTAGACTTGTAAGTTATTTTCAGTGTGTTTTTGCTGAACAGGTGCTCTATATGAAGTATGCAATCAATTTTTTTTATGATAATGTGCAGCTATGTGCTATACAAATACCTACGGATAAATTAAACTGCTTTGAAATTAATTAGTGTGTGCAGAAAAAACACACACAACAAACTGTTACATATTTCCAGAAATCTCACACTGATACTCATCGGGGAATGCCAAACACTCATGCAGGCAATAAAAAACACAGGAAGTGTGATGATGATTGCCAGCAGGCGTTTGCTGGTTTATTATATGGTGGTCATTACGTTTATCATAACTTGCACTGTAGGTTTTATATATAAATAAGTTGTGCATGATGTATCTTTTTTGCAGTTAGCTGAGTGAAGAGTAGTAGCACTTTGATATTTCCGTCTCACAACATGTAGCATTTAGCACATACAAGCTGAACAGGACTTCAATTCAAACTCTTGGTTCAGCAAGCGCCATTTTTTGAGGAGCCTGTTTCTAGGCAACATCTTAATCAAGTTTCCACCAGAGGGGGAAAAAAAAAGCTTAATAGGCCCTCAGGGTGCGATTTTCTATCATCAGCTGTGAGACAAATCTGAGCTGTTAACAAATTAATCAGTCAAACAGGGGAAAAAGACATTTCTTATTTGTAGACAATTAGGCAACTGCTGCTCATGTGTGTTATAAGCACACAAGCAGCTACGTTTAAGGCTGATGTCTAATGGAGAAAAACCCAAAGACAAAATGCCTTGTGAAAAATTGTGATTAATTAGAATTTATGCTTTCAAACGTCTTTACTGCCTCAGTGTCATGTGTAATGAGAAATACACTCATGGAGCTGATCACTCAGACACACACGAATCACAGTGAAAAAGTTTATTGTCACACATCTATTTACACAAATCCAACCAAGGGAGCAAGCAGACAGAGAGGGAGACGAGGGTCAGTGAACGGCTGATGCGTAAACACAGTAAGTGAAACGAAAAGGGAGGATTAGTGAAACTAAGAGCTTACTTGTTACATGGGTGGGAGTTTGGGTACAGGTGGCTGAGGCCAGGCGAAGGAGAGAAGAGAATGGATAGATGGACTGGATACTTGTACTGAACTTCAGTGCTCTAAATTATAGAGAATAAAGTCCTAAATACTACGTAACATTTCCCACATTAGTTGTTATTACAGCCTCAGAATGAAAATACACATGCAAATATTAATCCAGACATCATTCTGTTTTAGAACGGAGTCTTGTTCATGAGTGAGGGGCAATGGCAGCAGGAAATTGACAGATGGACTGGGGCTGGAGCTTCAGTCGTGCACATGCTGTGGTCATTGTGGACTTCCTTTCAACATCAAACTTAGACTCATTTTATACATCATTTTTATACTGCTGTGGTCTCATGTTTTCAAAGGGAGACATGGGAAACAGTTATGTGTGAAAGGATGCAGAGTGATCAGTGGACATCTCCAAGATGGCGTGGGGGGTCTTGACGCTAAAACAAAAGTAAGCAGCTGCACAGTGGTTTTCAAGTAGAAATGTCCCCAGCTTGCCACAGGCAGTTTGCAGCAGATAGCAGATAGTCAGTTCATACAAGCACATTTGCACAAACTTCTTGTAATTTCAACAACTTCTCTTCTCAGGTCAATAAAAACAAAGATTACCCAGTCTAAAGGTCAAATGTTGAACAACATATTGATCCAATCCAAGCTGGGTCATGGCTGGACGTCCAATCTGCAGGCCTAGTTTGGACATCATATAGATGTCCAGAATTGGTCACCAACAACCAAACATAGACATGATGTGCATGTCTATCCGAAATCCAGTGTTTAGTGGGAATATCTTCAATATCTAATAACTTGGTCTAACAATAAATGTTTATTCCAGAAGTAGTAACAAAATGTGCTGCTGACCTGTTCCACTTCACTGTCCATTCCCTGTTGTAAAGCTTGTCTTTTTCTTAAGACCTGAACTCATCTATTTTATACATATAATGCACACTTGTGCTTTCATTTATTACTAATTCTCAAACTGTTATGAGAACAAGTTAATAAAGTTCAAAACTTGATTCAAAATTGGCTGATAATTAATTGTTGTGTACCTCTAGAACATTTCCAGCATGGCTGCTATTTCTGATCTCTTACTAGAAGTCCTGCCATGTCCTCTTCTATTTGGGCCTCTACAATGGGAGGTGAACTAAGCTGAATGGAGGCGAATCTAACTTTAAATCATGTGGAAGATAGTACATTGATGAAGAGCACAGGTTGTTTCTATATTTGTTCCTCTTAATGTTCCCACTCAGACCCCTGAGGCTATCACAGCACAACTCCACTTTTAATAGTCTGGCCCTTGGAAATGAATTTTCTGAGCAGAATCCAATGAATGTTGGGAGAGAAAAAAATATGCATTGTCCAGGTCAGACTGCTCACCTCACACTGCTCTAAACACAGCCTCTGAAAACTGACTAATCACATGGAAGATCATGGTAACACAGAGAATATAGAGACATTAAAATTCAATGATGATTCCCAACAGTTCTTAGAAGTTTTCTGTTGCCTAATAATTCCTATATTCCTATAGTCAATGACGTGCACTGTAAGCGACAATGATTACTAAAAAAAACAAAACAAATTACTTTCATGAAATGAATACTACTGTAAACTGCTCATATTTTTCGACAGAAATGTTCGGTCAGCAAATAACTTTCCATTTATGCTGGAGTTCTAAAGCACTTTATGCTGATGTCAGTGTCAGAAGTGTTGTCACCACTGTTGCAGATGGTGTTGAAGCCAAAGCCATGAAGGCCTAGTGGAAATGTTGTGACTTGTGCTACGGCTGTGTTGAGAGCACTTGCATACACAGTGATGATATGAGAATGTTACATCATGTAAAAATATATACCATTATTATTGTGAACAATGGAACAGTCCTACTATCAACTGAAATATTTGAAAATGCACTTTTGTAGTTCCTTGTAAAATACATTGTAACAGTTTTCTCAGTATTCAGGCATGAAGATTTAGCCCAATTATTGTTATTGTTCATGATGGTCCATGCAAGGCATAAACTCTAGTCAAATTGTAATAATTATTACATTTTTAAAGAAGACTTATGCGAATACTGCTAAATACTTGTAAAAATGAGCAGTTTGTTGATGTTTGTGAAACATCCACAGCACTCAAGCACCTCATCATTTTGCGCATGTGTACACTTGACAGTTACTTAAGCATGTTAGAAAATATTGGGTGGTCTCAGAATCTCATCTCTGCTTTTCGCGGATGATGGGTTTCTGTTGGCTTCATCAGGTGATGGCCTCCAGCTCGCACTGGAACGGTTAGAAGTGAGTGTAAAGCGGTGGGAACAAGAATCATCACCTCCAAATCTGAGGCCATGGTCCTCAACCTGAAAAGGGTGGAGTGCCCACTCCGGGTCAGGGACGACTTCCTGCCCCAAGTGGAGGACTTTAATTACCTCGGGGTCTTGTTCATGAGTGACGGGAGAAGGGAGAGGGAGATCGACAGACAGGCTGATGCTGCGGCTGCAGTGATGCGGATGCTGTACCTGTCTGTCGTGGTGAAGGGAGAGCTGAGAGTAAAAGGGAAGCTTTCGATTTACTGGTCAATCTACGTCCCTACTCTCACCTATGGCCACGAGCTGTGGGTAGTGACCGAAAGGATGAGATCGCGGATACAAGCAGCAGAAATGAGCTTCCTTTGAAGGGTGGCTAGCCTCTCCCTTAGAGATAGGGTGAGAAGTTCAGCCATCCGGGAGGGGCTCAGAGTAGAGCCGCTGTTCCTCCACATTGGAAGGAGCCAGTTGAGGTGGTTCAGGCATCTGACAAGGATGCCCCCTGGGTGAGGTGTTCCGGCATTTCCCACCGGGAGGAGGCCCCAGGCTAGACCCAGGACACACTGGAGAGATTATATCTCTCGGCCTTGGTGTTCCCCCAGACAAGCTGAAGGACGTGGCTGGGGAGGGGGAGGCCGGGGATTTTCTGGTTAGACTGCTGCCCCCAGATAAGCGGAAGAAGATGAATGGATGGGAAATACTGAATGTTGAATAAACAATTTTGTTGTTTCAAAAAGGGCACATACAGGTAGATACAAAGCTGAAAATGACTCGTAGGACTTCTGAGGAATTTATCTATTATATGTCTCTTAGGTATTTTTTGCACACATGTAACATGTAAGTATAGTGATGGTGTGTTTATGTTGGTGTGTTTTTGTGGTATTTGTCTGTTGTTTCCATCGTCCTAGGCAACTGGAGTTAATGTGAGACCACTTATACAGAGATGTTAGCATCAACTCTACAATGATGGGGATTTAAAGGAGGTGAGTAGGCATGAACCAAAACTCAATGTCTAATACTAACTATTAATAACATTTAATTATACACAACGACAGTATATGGAAGATCAAACAGTGAAGCCAAAACGTCTCTATCACCCTCTGGTGTTATAAACCCCACCTTCTGTCAAATTAAGACCAAAAAGGTCTAATCAGATCACATTTCCTGAAAGATTCATTCTGCCATTATTAGTAGTTCTCATCTTGCTGATTTGGGTTCAAGGGGTCTAAGTTCTCATCAGTTAAATTTTAATTATCAACTGTAAAATTGGGATGCAACGTCATCATGACAGCTTTGATTGTCAGCTGCAGTCACGACAAACTTCCACGTCTCTGCTCCGGGACTGCAGCTAGAACCATATCCACAGCTATCTGTTTCAAACTGACAGTGTTAGGTGTTCTACAATAAACGGGAGTAACTGACAGAAGAACCTAAGGCATCCTGACTTTATTTTGGTAAGTTAAATTTGTGTTTTGAGCTAATCAATAAATTCATGCCTTTAGCAGTCAGCAAGGGAAAACAACAGTGTTTGGTAGCTTTGTACACGAACGAATTTACACTGAGTAGAGAAATCACTTTGTTGAGCTAAGTGATTTAATGCTAATTAAAAGTCAGTGCTCTAGTTCAGACATTAGCTCTGCTGCTCTGACTGCAGCAGGCAGCTGCTCAGTCACTACCTAATGCTATTGTTATTGTACTTTTATTATGAATAGTATACTGTAAGAGCAATAGGCTGGACTCTTATGCAGAGTCGAGAAGAGTAATAAGTGACAAGTAACACTATTCTTTTTGAAAGGACATAAAAAATACCTAATAGAACATAATATTTATATTCTGAGACCAAATCATGATATTTGATGTGTTAGGTTAAAATTGTTGTTTTGATTGAAGAACAGGATGTTTTTCTGTTTTTTCCTGCAGGTGACCATAATTCAGAATCAGGACAAGAAACCTGTTCCTGGTTCATGTCATCTTTGCAACTTTCCTTTTAAAAAGCACCAATAGCTCCAATGTAAAAACATTATACTGTTGGTTAGGGCTGCCACAAACGATTATTTTGATAGTCGACTAGTCACCGATTATTTTTGCGATTAGTCGACTAATCAGATCATCATCCACTGGATGTAAAACGTACAGCTTATTGCACCAGCAGCATCTGCTCTTATATAACTATCATTAGCTTACAGCTTTAAGTGTTTAAGATATGTGCTAACTAACAATAAAGACAAGATGATAGTTTATTAAATTTTAATGAAATTTGCAGATTGTTTCGGTGGAGTTTAATAAACTCAGCCGTCTGCTCCTTGCTGTCTAAAATATAACAGGATACCGAAGTATATTCTCGAGCATCTCACACTTCTGATAATCAGCTGTCTGCTTGACGTTGATTCAGCTGTGTAAAAACTATAACTTTAATCTCAGCCAAACCGATTTACTGAGGAACAAATAAAATACTGAAAAAAGCCAAACAATAACATTTTTAAGTTATCTAAGTGACTTATCTATCATGTTTAATTTGCCTGGAGTTCTCACCAGCTCTAGTGAGCCTTGCCCCCGGCTCGCTATCGAGCTAGTGGGTAACAGACGTCTCTGAAAACGTCGGAGCGCTTTTGAAAATATGTGGTGTCCTGCTAAACTGAGCCGATATTTGAGGTTTACACAGCTACATTCTCGCCTGAAAATATGTTAAACGTTTATTTTGTGACCCAGAAAGAATAATAAGAGTAACATTAAAACTAACCAGCTGCCGCCATCAGTGGCGGTCCTAGCCTGTTTGGCGCCCTGGGCGAACACACCCTCTGGTGCCCCCCCTCCCCCACCACACACACACACACACACACACACACACACACACATTAAGGATTGTCCATTGACATAAAACTGTTGTCGGAACCATACTGAATTTCACCAGAAAAACACACACATATGAAATTCAAATTCAAATTTTATGAAGAGAGAGAGAGTATGCATAGTATGCAAACGGCTACCAAACAGCCATCATAATTTGTCATACAATGAGAACGGGACAAATCAACAATTGACAATGACTAATTAATATTAAAACCGCCCCGCCCTCTCCTCCCTGTGCCGCAAGCAGCAGGCGTACCTCGCAAACGGAGGGCGCCCTTACTCCCAGCAAATGGGCGATAGAAAACCGATCGGTGCCTGTACCATTCCCAGTATGCGCTGGCATGACGTCGGGGCAGCATGAATACGAGCAATTTTTATTATTTTTTATTAATTTTTTTGCCGATGCCCGTGATGCCGCCCCCCCACCACGATGCCGCCCCCGGCAACCGCCCGTGTCGCCCGTATCAAAAACCGCTACTGCCCGCCATTGTTGGAAACTGAGGATGGCCGCGCTATGAATTCTGGGATAGAATGGGCCACGAAGTATACACCCGACCCATCCTTCAAATCTGGGGAAATGAAGGACGCATTTGTCGGCCGCATTTGTCGGAGTCTTCGAATTTGGACAGTCATCGTCGTGTCGCTGTAACGTAATCGGCCTACAAATGCGGGCACAGGAGGATGCGGTTCCTGAATTTGGACACAGTTACTGCTTCTTCTTCTTCTTCGAGATTTGACGGCAGCTGGCATCTTTATACATGCAGTGCTGCCATCTTCTGTTTCAGTCCGTTATTACACTCTTAAATCCTACTACTTATTCCTGCGTCTTTTGGGATCTTATAAAGTTTTAAACTACGCGTCGTCTATTAAAATAGTCGTCGACGATTTTAATAGTCGACGTAATCGTGGCAGCCCTACTGTTGGTATATAAAGTTTTTTCTTCACTTAACAAACAGGCCACATCTTAGCTATAGACTGGAAAAAGTTAAGAAAACTTCCAAACCTGAATTCTGTCAGCTTTGAGGAGTACGTGTTTGACAGTTTGTGATGATTCTTTTCTCTTTGTGATCACAGGAGCTGATTCAAATTCAGACTTCAGCATGAGCTAGTGACAGCATCATCTTATATGTCCACACTTTATGCTGAATACACTTATTTGTTTTAATACTGGAGTAAATAAAGTACACAGGCTAAACTACCATATGATGTACTGTCAGCAAAACCTGCAGCTGTTCTGTTGAGAAAGACAAATTATGGGTTCAGGTCAAATTGTTATTACATTATAATTATGTAATTGGTTTCATTATACATATATGTGTATGTATATATATGTGTATGTATATATATATATATATATATATATATATAAAATAATAATTATTATTATTATCATTCCCTGCTCGCCCCTGTGGACGGTCTATCCTCCAAGCTTGGGTCCTCTACCAGAGGAGCTTGAGGGTCCTGTGTAACCAGTATGTAACAAAATATATAAACAATGGGCAAATCAGAAGACTTCAGGAACGACAGGAGCCCAGAGGATGGGTAACCACAATGAAAACACAACTGCAAATGATGAAGCAATGGTTCAACTGTATTTGAAATTTTTGCACTGTATTGCATTTACAATAACAACCAAAATTGTGTGTGCGCGCACAGATACCCAAAATAAAAAAGAAACGAATGTTAGACCCGGGTCTTTTAAAGTGTCAATAGGATCCAGATCAGGCCTGTTTGGTGATCTGGTGAGTTATTGGTGTGAGTTCAGTCCACGATCGATGTATGGTTTGCACTGTTTTGTCCTACCACAGTTCAGGCAACCACACTTCAAGATTAAATTCCAAATGGGCTGTGGCTCGCCATCCATTACAATGGAAATTTATTCCTCTTCTGCGGATTTCCACAAAGTCTGTAATCCAATGTTCTCCGGGGAGTCTCAGCTCATTCTCCAACTGAAAAAAACCTGACCTAAGAGTGAGGTCAGAATTACTTCAAATGAACATTGTTCACACTTAACTAACAACACTTCTGTTTAAAGTATAAAGCATGAACAAAATATGTTTCAATTTCTAATGTTGTACAACTAATCAAATTCTAAACGTTTTCATTACATGGCAATGTAGCTATCAACAATCATTAAAGCAATTCACACTGCTCATTAAAAGCAGCAAACTCAATATACTCTGCTCACTGTCAAGTAAGATAAGATAAGATAAGATAAGATAACTCTTTATTGTCATTGCACAGTCATACATAGTACAGTAGTACAATGAAATTGGAAAACTGTCCTACGTCGGCACTACATATAACACAACACGACACGATATGACACATCACAACGCAACAAACAACACAACACAGTATATTAACTTAGTATAAAAAAGAAGAATAAGTGTATTTGTATTGCACACTGTTATTATTGCACATTAATTGTGTGACAAACCAGTGTGTGAATGTGTGTGTGAATGGGTGGATGACTGGATATGTAAAGCGCTTTGGGGTCCTTAGGGACGAGTAAAGCGCTATATAAATACAGGCCATTTACCATTAATTATTATTGCACCTTGTTATAAATATAAATATTATTATTGTTATCGTTTTAAACATTGTTACCTCCCCCCTAAAAAAGTCCAGGGAGGTATCCAGTCAGGTCAGCTATTTACATTGATCAGGGCTATTGCCCTGTTGTAACAGCTGTCCTTGAGTCTATTTGTTCGGGACCTCAGCAGCCTGAACCTCCTGCCAGATGGCAGCAGCTTAAACACCCAGTGTCCTGGGTGTGTGCAGTCCCGTACGATGCTGCGTGCCCTCTTGAGACAGCGAGTGCTGTACAGGTCCTTCAGGGAGGGAAGAGGATGTCCAATGATTTTTTGGGCCATGTTGATGACCCTCTGGAGTGCCTTTCTGTGTGCTGTGGTGCAGCTAGAGAACCACACACCGATGCAATATGCCAGCACACTTTCAATGGAGCAGCGGTAGAAGACGGTCAGCAGCTCCTTCTTCAGGTCCATTTTTCTGAGGATTCTCAGAAAGTGGAGACGCTGTTGGGCCTTCTTTAAGACCGCAGAGGTGTTAGAGCTCCATTGGAGGTCTGTGTCTATGTGCACACCCAGAAACTTGAAACTGGAGACCCTTT